TTTTTAATATTTTTTTTTTTTTTTTTTTTTTTTTTTTTTTTTTTTTTTTTTTTTTTTTTTTTTTTTTTTTTTTTTTTTTTTTTTTTACTGGCAAATCATTTTATACGTAAGAATTTAAAATAAAACATTCGGTTAAATAGATAAATTTATATAAAATATTTTTAAAACGTCAATATTCACATTATTACGTTTATTACATACATTTTATTGGTCGAAATAGTTCATATATTTTTATAGTGTTAATAAATGAATGGACATTAAATACTTTAACGATTTGAAACTTTGGCACACTGTAATAAAAACATTAATCTCTTATTTTCCTTTGCCTGTTACTTATTTAAGTCTTTACACATTTTTCAATTTATAATAATGAACATGTTAAACTTTTATATTTTAACCTTGTATACTAAACAATATATTTGATATTAATTTTATTTTTACTTAACTAAAAATAACATATATATATAAATATTTATAAAAGTTGTCTTGAATTTATATAAAAAAAAAGGTAAAAATTAAATATCAAAATATTAGGGTGTAAATTAAAATACAATTCGAATACAAAAACAAAATTAATAAATTAAAATTAATTAGAATTGAATTGAATGTTCAGAATCTTGTGATCTTATATTCATATACATGTAATAGTAATAAAATGATGAAGCGACGAATGCAAAAGAAAAAAAGAAAAAAAACAAAAATAAAACTTGACACTTGGATAGATCAAGCATAAAAAAATTCTTGATTGGCAGGCCGAATGTTAAGAGATACGCATGTGAAAGCCGTAATTACCATCAGACATATAGATATCGTCGAGATTCGAACCAATCAAGTCCTCCTCGCCCGTATCGTCGATACAAGAGAAGTCGCTCAGGGATACGAGTTCATGCGCCTTTAGCGTCATTTCATCCTCTGAATTTATTTTGGAATCGTGCGACCTGATAATGTGCGTCCGCGAACTATCGATATTGAGATCCTCGATGTCAGCCTCGCTCGAACCCAACGACCGGGCCGCACCGGTGTCGATGTCAAGAACCTTATCGGCTAACATCATCGGCGCGTTCGACGTCTGCGTGCGACGCAGCGATCCTATCTTCTCGAGCAACTGGCTGACCGTCTCCTCGTCCGAGGTATCGTCCTGGTTGTCCGGGCGAGGCCGGGTCCGATAATGTCGCTTGCGCTGCTTCGGTGTGCTGGGCTCTTCTTTGGCGAGCTGCGCTGCTCCTGTGTAAGGCGGAAATTAGCCAGGATGTCGAGCATCGGTAATCAATTTTACTTCACATCCATTTGCCCCGAGGAATGACGCGATTCAGTAGTATTGGGAAGATAAGCCGCTATTGAGCGTCGCTTATTATGTAAGTGAGTATGTGAATGTGCTAGAAGCCATCGTTCGTTAATTGATAATTAATGCTTAATTGATATAAAGTTTCTAAAGTTGTAAATTTCTTGGATAAAAAAAAGTTTTATAAAGAGGACGGGAAGGAAGGCGTAAAAGGGCCAAGCTCCTCGCTTTTATCGTTGGTATTTGGTTCTCCAACGATTCCCACGATTGATTAGTGATTAGTCGATTGCAAGATCATAAATAAAGCGTAGCAAAATCGTTAACTAATGAATTTAGTGGCACTTTCGGCAAATCGAATGGAATAACTGCCCTCCCGCCCCTCTTACCGGGCACTCTAGCCTCCTTATCTTCCTCGGTCTCGCTAGAAGCATCGTCGTTGATCTTGTTAACGATCAAATTCGTCATCGGGGCCTTGGTCTCGGTCGCATCATCGCAACTCTTGCACGACTCGGACTCGTCCTTGCGCTTCTGATTTATCTGCCTCAATAGACCAGCTACTTGATCAATCAGGCTCTGGATGTAGCGAATAATCCATTGCTCATCCTTGTAATCCTCCTCCAAGGCGACCATCGCTGCCATCTTCAGAGCAATGACCGCCTCGCCGAACCTACCCAGTTTCAGGAGACTTTGCCCTGTTAACAGTTGACCCCGTACCGTCCACTTTTTCGACTGGGCGGCGTTGGCGCTCTTTAAGCAAAGTTTCGCCACATCGAGGGCCTTACCAAAGTTCTCCAATTCGAAATGACACCGGCCAATGTCATGGTAGAGCCAAGCTTGCGGAATCGCCTCCTACGAGAGTATAGTATTCGATAAATTGTGTAAAGCCCAGTGGAATTAGGCTTAATAACGAGGGTAAATGAAGCGTGGGTAAAGTAAAGAGGAGAGAGGGGAGCGAATCGGCGTAGCTCTTACTTAGGAAGCTAAGCACTTACCGTTTTCAAATCGTCGACAAGGCGCTCCCAGACCCGAGCCAGAGCGTCCAAGTGCCCGAAGGCCAGATGAACCTTGCCAATGACGACGAGGGCCTCGGTTATCCAGTGTACATTGCCGCAACTCCTCGCGAGAAAGATCATCTTCACGGCGAGACAGACGGCCCTGTCGTGCCGTCCCAGGGAAATTTGCTTGCTCGCGAGGTAACCGTAAAGTTCGAGCTGATTTCGGTTTGGCTCCTCGGAAACCGAGGCCAGGTCAACGAGTACGTCGCCCAATTTATGAACGGTCGCGGTGTCGCCCGACTCGTACGCTGTTTCCAATTCCATGAAGGTCGACGACACGCACTTGTTCATCTTCTTCAGCATCATCTTGGAGCGAGCGGTGATCGAGGAGTTGCTCGGACTCGGTAAGCGCCAAAAGTCTTTTCGCGACTCGAAGAACCTGCGAGCGGAGAGGCTAGAGTTGTCTCCCGTTCGTGTATCGTCTTTTGGCATCCCGTTACGGAAAACTTTCCGAAACATGAGCTTCCGGTTGAACGAGAACTTTGTCGGATTGTACGTAATTGCTTTGAGGGCATGTAACGAATGACGCTTGATGAATGGCGAAACTTAATTTTTGAAAGTTGTAGGGCTCTTTTAAAGTTTTGCTTTCGGCGAAAGTGGCACGTAATCGACGGATGATAATTTCAAAATCAAAGCACCGGATGTGCATCAGCGATAGCCGATTGCATTTTATTCCAGTTACTCGGATTACTAATTGCACGAATATCATCTTACTTTCATCGGGAGTAATATTTTGTATCGATGAGTCGAGTCATTGTTATTTATGACTCGAGACAATTAGTTGCTCCAGATACTAATGGCAAAATGTCCATTGGGTATGAATAACGATAAAACAGATTATTGGTAATATTGGCCAACTTTATACGAGACGTATAGTATTTACCATGAATTCCCATATGCCTTTTATAAACACTATTTGACGTTATAATGCTTTAATGGAAAATTAATTTTTACGAGAGAACTTTTAAATGCAATGCCTATGTGGAGATAATTTACGTGTATTATTATTGTTCATTTCAATCGAGAGCAAATATATGTTAAAATGACAATATCGATTGGTCTGTCTTTTCAAACAACGATCCAGTACGCATTTCATCCAACCACCAAATCTCCATATCGACAGATTAAGTTCCCACTTCCCCGCAACTAATAAAATACACATTATCTTCCTTAATAACTTGAAGGTCATTGTGACTAAAGCCACTTGTGACTTGCGCTGAATTCTAACGGATCGCCCAACTACGTAGCGTAACGCACACTATTGTATTAGCTAATAATGCATTTCCTCCCCTCCCCCAACCCCAAAAAAAGAAATCTAAATGTTAAAATAGATTTAATTATTCTTACGTAATTTTGTGCGTGTGTATGGATATTTGCAAATTGTGTGTACATAATAATTATTCTTTCCAGTTACGTACTCGTTTCTCAAATCTCGTTAACCATAGTGGTTTATAATACTTTGTTAAATTAAATAACGAGACACGTAAATTTCATAAAGATCCAAGAGATAAGAAAGCATACGTTGGACCTTCTACATCTTAATTTACAAAGTTATGATGAAAACGTTGAAAATTTACGCTAAACTTTAAGTCAATTATTTTTCTAATTACAAATTGTCCCTATTTATAAAGCAAAAACCGATCGATTATTTTGTAATCCAGTCTAGTTAATTACGATTAAATGAGAGCATTGATCATAGCAACGATAGAGGACGTTATTTATAGTTGCAGCTCGTTATTCTGTTATTAAGCAACAATTATTACCACCGATGTGTGCGGGTTAATTTACGTTTAAAGAGAATTATTTGCAAAGGTCGAAGAGAAATGTAGGAATGAAAGTTCCGCAAATAAACGATAAACATTTACTACGACAGTAGTAAATCCTCTCCTGTTGTACTTACATGCACTCGACTAACCGCGTCCTTAGTAAAATCAATTAATAAAAATAAAGACATTGGCATCCACGGGCCTATTCTTGGGGACCAGGTAAGTATTTTATAAAATATCCTGCGCCAACTCGATGCTCCTCTCGACCGACCGCCTACCTGAGAATTCTGGGTATATCGCGCAGGGGATCGGATGACTCGGCGACGACATCCCGGGCCCTATGCGCCGCCACCTCCGGACAGACAAAACCTGACATCTGCGGAGGGCGGAGGGTTGACCTCGATTGAACGCGAAAGTCCTTGGAGGTATTAGCCTCCGAGTCTATTGCCGCCTGGATGCGCCAAGCGGCGATCTGATGATTTTGCTCGCGAGGGCAGATCTGCGACGCTCTATGGTACAGCACCAAGGCCGACTCGTAATCCCCCCTAGAAACGAAGGAAATATAATGATGGTAATAACAAGGGCATCGCCTGCGCGGATTCGCCACTTTTACCAAATACGCTGGTGTGTCATTGGTATGTGTTCTGACCTGTGCTAGTGGCTCACGTGTGTACCCATATGGGCTTTATGATTAACACGTGGATGGAAAATCGCGTTGTTATGCAGCTGTGACCGCGGCACTTTCAATAACTCGATCATCCTCGTATTATTTCTAATATGAGCCGAGGGACGATAAGTTCTTTTGGGAATAACATAAATGATTCTTTAAGTAAGCTTTACAACTTCGGGAATTGTATGTAAAATAATAATTGTATCATAATAAGAATTAATGTCTGATTTGTGTGTATTATTTCTGGTATAAGCTAATGTGGGCTTTTTCGCCAATAGCCACACGCCGTATACATATCCTAGTGATCCTTATATATATATATATATATATATATATATATATATACTTATTAACATCAATTTACAGTCTTACATTACTTTAAATCACTTCGTTATGCTGGACAATCGATAAGCTTAAATCTTAATCTTAATGTGCGTGTGCCTATAGCGCGCGAAATATTTTATTAAACATTAGCAATAACGGAAGTTCATCGTTAGACTGTCGGGATAAGATTAGATAGGGATTGGCATCCGGGCTATTTATTAAGCTAGGATGAAAATTCTCAAAACCTTATCATACGAGTTTTTTCTAACTCTACTAATTATGCAGATAAAACAATATAACCTTATTTCCTGCTTATTTTTAACTTTGTTTACAAAACTTCAATAGTATTGCAGCTCTGCATTAAAAAGTTACGGGAAGCTTTGACTCCCACAGAAAGTTCGTAGCACAGAAAATTTGAAGGTTTCGCATTACGAGATGTAAAATGTAAAAGAAGTAGTTTCATCTAATTCTCCATCTATTGTCTCATTGCAAATATTCTATTTCGAATCCTATTTACATCTTCTATAGGCTGAAACGGTAGGGAATAAATATTGCAGTTAACCTAGCAAAATGTTAGTTACTTACGGAGTAGGTACACCCAATCAATCTCGAAACTTATTGTTTGCCTCGCCTTAAGAGCCACTCGACTAAAGCCAACAACCAACTTATTGCCGACATTCGGGGCATCGTTCTCGGTACCGTGCGCCACTCTCTCTCTCTCTCTCTCTCTCTCTCTCTCTCTCTCTCTCTCCCTTTCTCTTTCCCACTCTATGTCCAATAATAAAACACGACGAACTCATTATACAATATCACATTAAGCTGACAAGTCCCGTACTTGTAGCACAGCTGATCGGCCTCGTGGTGAAGCTGATTGGCTCGCGTCTGCTTGCATCCAATCGCCTTGGAATTGGTGCATAATCGAGTCTCGACATCGGCAACGACCTGCTCTGGCTCTCTGAGCTCGCCCTGGGACTCCAACGACAGCGAGACTCTCGGCAGCTTGGGCGTGCTAAGGGGCTCGCGTCGTCGCCGCGCGGTCCTGGCCACTGTCGCCGAAGAAGACATAGCCGCCGAGACTGCCAGGCCTAGCCAATGGCGACGCAGGCGTCGGTTACTCGCGATCCGAAGTTGCCGGCGTATCGAGGTTTCTGCCTCGCCATTAACAATATCAGACTGCCGGTCGCTCTGCGATATGGCGATCGATCGATCGCACGCGACGTTCCCGGACACCCCCCCCCCGCCCCCTTAGTCATTTCGTCCTGACGCACGAATATCGCCGCACGAGCAAGCGTTTTGTTTCGCTATCTAACTCACCACCTCGGCTTATCGGTTACTCATTCTTTCCATCCAATGTGTCTCGCACAAATCAATTAACACATGCCGCTTGCGAAATTGCATTGGCTATCCAACCAATTGCCGTTGTAAAATTGATAATAAATAATAATAATAAATTATAATATAAGTGTAATATATGTATTTGTATTTTATAATGTGCGAGCGAGGTGCTGCGAGGGTGAATGCTTTAATTGATGAAGATCTTGGAAATTCCTTGACATTGACACAACGAGCTGTGCCATCTCTCATCTCGATCGATAATTAAAATCCCATCAGAGTGAACGGATTCGCTCGAAATCAAACTCGACAAATAAGCAACGGGTTAAGTTAATATTTCTATTTTTATTAAATTAATTAAAAACTCGAACAATCTCACTGAAGTATGAAACAGTATAGACGATGACGACGACAATGAGCAGGAGGAGGTGGACGAGGAGGTGGACGAGGAGGTGGACGAGGAGGAGGAGGAGGAGGAGGAGGAGGAGAAGGAGGAGGTGGGGGTGGAGATGGAGGTGAAGATGGAGGTGGAAGTGGAGGTAGTGGTGGAGGGATAAGAGGGATTTTCGAAGGGAGGGAGGGACGAAGGAAGGAAATTAACATCAATTGAATTCGTTTATATTGGGCCTGCCAAGGATCTTCGTGTTGGGTGAGAACTTTTTGAGCAAATGATTGCGCAGCTCCTTCTCGTAGTTCTTGGGCTCGGTAGACGCGACCGTCTTCTTGGTGCTTTGCCCGGTCGCTTCCCTCGGCTTGCAGCCGGGCATGATGGACAGTCGTCTGCTCGCTGACACGGCATCCATGGACCTCAATAGCAGATCCATTTTGGGCCTCTGGTCCGTGGGGATGATTTGGAGTATGAGACGCTGACGGGCGGCTATGCTGTTGTTATCGCTCAAGCGGTCAAAGTCCAATCCGTTTATGAGAACGATCGTGCGCTCGTAAAAGTCCACGAGGAAGTCGACATTGAGATTCTGCGCGGACTGCAAAGCCGCCATTGCCGCCTCCCGCGCCTCGTTACGGTTGCTCTGGACGAGCTCCACGCGGATGAGGACGTGGCTCGCGTTCACCGCCCATTCCTCGTAGCCCGTGTTCAAGCTCAGCTCGCGCGTCTTTTTCGCGTAGAATCTTTGATTTGATTTCGAGAGAGAAAGAAACGTTATTAGCGGTGGCTCGTTGCTGGCACCCCGTGGTAAGCAATATTTTCTATATACATATATACATATATATATATATATATATATATACATATATATCTGAGGGAATTGCAACGTTTGATTATACCGCTGTGTAATATTAATTCAATTATAATGGTAAACTATAATAAAATGGTACATTATGAGTAAGAATTTATATAGACTCTCTTGCACGATACCTTAAATAGTGAAAAATTTATAAAAATAATAAATCACTTATCAAACATTTTACTAGAGATAAGTGATATTTATTATAGTAGTAGACTGCTTTTCAATTGCTCTTGAATTGAAATATGAATTTGAACAATCGGCGATAAAATATTGAAAGCCATTTTGTTGAATACTCCGCTATTCGATAATTGAAATCGCACGTATCTATCGAACGAAGTCAATTGATTATGTTATCTTATATTTATTACGCGCGTCGACACGAGACGAACTTATACCCTTGAAATTAATTGTCATTGTAACAAAACAATTGCCGATTATATCGAACTCATCTACGCTCACACACTGAATTATCCACACATTGATTCGGATAATTACAATTCGATGTAAATGCATTGGAATTAGTATAATTAGCAATCGCCAAAGGATTATCGTGTATCCAACGATATAGCTAAATCGCCATTATTATTAATAAATAAAATTAATAAATAGTTTGCGACAAAAATTGAAACACTTGTTATTATTGATGTTTACGCGCGTGCACATGCACAAACACATACGCGCGTAGAGACAATTTATGTCGATAAACTGGCAACGAGCGTATAGTGCAACTAGAGTGCTTACAATGACGCATCCATGTGCTTTAATTGACAAAGTTCTAGGACTAAGCAACTTATTCGAGTCAATTTTCACGGCACCTAATTACGGTCAGATGCACCACCGTCCTCGTCCTGAGCCAAAGCGAGCCCGGGGCATTCAACGTACCGCGCAAGATCGTAGCGGCGCACCTCGAGGAAGAGTTTGCACAGCTCATGGAATATCCAGAGTACCTCGAGGGTGTGCTTAGTTAGGGAGAGCCTCCTGTTGCAGACGTTCAGGGCTTTCTTAACGTCGTAGCTGGGTATCCAGGCAAGGTCACTGTCCCGTAGCATCCGGGCCGTTCTGATGCCGAGGAGCTGTCTCAATCGGTCCGTCCTCTCCTCCTCGGACTCGTTGCAAAAGCGCTTCAGATTACGCGGGTCCATGTACACGCGCGCCACCATACGAGAGAGCACGTCCATCAATTTGTAAATATCCGGAAGCAATTGACGGCCATACGACTCCAATTTGTCCTTAACCAGGTCCACCATCCTGCAACGTCCGCGCACATCATTACACAGCATTACACATCACGGCTAATTGGTTATACCTCGGAAAAGCCTCGCTCGCGACGATCCTCAATTGTTATCCGTTCGAAAAGCCGGCGAAGCGCTAAGTGCGCTAATACTACGAATGACCACGAGTAAAGTCACCGTGGCAGTGGCTTATGAAACGATAAAGGACGATGGCATACAATTGCCAATCATTTTATAATTAACGAGCGATTCGCAACGATTCGCGCGATCTCACCTCGATCGCCCAGCTTGAGAATTACAGTTGCAAATACCTGTCGGATTAATTGGCGCGGTTGCCGAGCGATAATGACGAGTGGCTTTTGTAAAGGATTGTCACGACATTGGACACTCGTCGTTCGATTGAGCGTGCGCGGTTTAAGTAGCCAACGCGAGCATCGTACTTGAAAAAGAAGGGATAATCCCGGCGCAGGCGGGCCAGATGTAGCTGCTTGAAAAGGTAATTGGCGTCCTGTTTGGCGAGGCATCTGCGGTGCAGGAGCTCTTGATATAGGGCGAACCTGCGCCCGGGCGTCTTCGCCGCTTCGGTCCTGGCATTCACCGCGTACAGTGGCCGGCGCGTCCTCAGGGCCTCCTGCTGGCTCTGCGACCTCGTCAGGGATTTATTAATGGAGGCGAGGAGCGAGAGACTGCCGGCTTTGTTGGCGGAAGCGAGAGCCGGTCGGTGAAGCAGCTCCTGGAGGAAGCGCTTGTCGTGGCAGGTGCCACCGAGGTACATCAAGGCCATTAGATGATCGTGCTCGGTACGGTACTTTTGCAGTTTCGCCTGAGAATCCGAGATCTTAAATCTCGTGTGCTCGTCGCCAATGCCTGCGTGACGTCCGTCGTAATGCTTATAAAGGCGAATACTCGGAGGCGTTTAAGTGCAGGAAGCGAGCAAAATCCCTGTCTTAGCTACTAGTGAAAATATTGAAGAAATTGTTGATGGATTATGATGGTGATGGAACGAATTTGTTAAGAATTTAGAAACTATTAGGCCGCCCTGTTTTTTTCCCCTTTAAATTGTAATAGAGATCAGAGTTTATAATAAGGATAATATATAAAGCCATTACACAATTGCCCCGCGAGTACATAAGCTTAATAGAAAAGAATAGAAAAGAAAAAACAATTATAAAAAGAATAAAATTTATATATGCAAAAATGCACGTTAATAATGATTATTAAATTTAAATATAATAATGATAATGATAATTTTGTAATGGCAACTTCGTTAGCCACTGTCCTTAATCGTGAAAGGCTCTGAAATATTCTCCGATCGACTGACTCTTCACTTTAATTCGAAATAATAAGCGTCCTTTACGAAATCGTGCTACACTAGAATGATCGAGGCTTCGGCAAAAAAAAAAATTAGTAAAACAATCCGATCGCAAAAATGAAAGATAAAAATTAAACGGAGAATGAAGGGGCAGATGATCATCGCACAGCATAACATAACGTTCGTTACGAACGAATTTCGGAAGGAAAATCTCGGGTAAAACTTTTATAACCGCTCGCTATTAAAAAAAAGTTGAAGCTCGAAAGCACGGGTGAGTGAGAGAGGATTGTGACGGCAATGAATAATGGCTGGGACAAGCTGTAAACGCTTTCGCGAGACCTTCTAGCTCGTCCTCCAAGTCATTAAGTCGCTCCAGGACCTCCTCCCTATGCTCTCTGAGCTTCGTTATCCAAGGTTGAATATATCGCATCATCGTCGACGACACATTAGCACCCACGCAGTCCTCGATCGTCTCGTTAGCCAACAAAACCGCGAATCGAAAGGTCATCCTCTGCCGCGCCCCTTGTTGTGCGTAAACGAGACTGCGACAGAATTCCGCGACAGCAAACAGCGCCTCCATCCTTGTATAGTTTGCAACCACGTTTGTTGGATCTGCGATTTATATGCTTATTTATAAACTTATATATGTGTGTGCGTGTGGGTGGGCGCGTGCGTGAGCGCTGTTGTACACACATATACGTGTGCGTGAGTGCGTGCGTACGTGCGCGCGTTCGTGCGCGCGTGTGTGTTGTCTGTGTATGTACGTATATACGTACGTATGCATGCACGTATGTGCATGTGCGCGCACTTGTATTTAAATGTACGACCGTATGTGTATACATTTCAATTTATGCACGGATTATTTGCGGTCAATTACAATTACAAACTACTCTCGTTTTGCTTACCAGTATTGCCATTATTACTACATTAGACATAACAGCGCTTTTCATGTCATTGACTAACCGAACTTGGCTCATCCTCACCTTATCCTCACGTGACAATTATTGTAAAAATTTTTAATTAATTATAAATATAGACTAACGGTCGATTAAATATTATGAGAGAAATTAATTCTTTCTTATAATCGTGGTAAAGTGCATTTTAGCCGCGTGTAAGCAATAGTGAAATATTGAAATTAAAAGTAATGCTGGTACGTGAAAATTTTTGTTTAGAAAATAATTCTGAGAGAAACGTTTCGTCTGCAATTATCGAGGATTATCATTGAGTAATATAAAAATTGATAGTGAGGATAATATAAAATAATATAAAGACTGGCTCTTTATTTTTGCCGCATTTTATCGTTAACTATTAATTTGCCTTCCTTTTTCATTTTTGATTGTCAAGTCTTTATATCCGTACTTTTAAACAGCTGTATTACGAAAATAAAATTTTGAAAATAAATATTACATAAAAAAAATGAAATATCATCTTTTTAGATATTTTCTTATATGGCTAACTTTGACTAACTATCTTTTATGAAAAGAGACTTTGACTAACTATCTTTTATGAAAAAAAAAAAAAAAAAAAAAAAAAAAAAAAAAAAAAAAAGTTGTACAATACTTTATTTTCTCCGGTATAAAATTAGAAAAAAAAATTTCATTGTATCCAGTCTTTGTTATTTAATTTGAAATTCAATCATTAAGAATTTCGATAATAATTTCACGACACAACCGTAATTGTCCAACTACGTTAATATTCATAAGACCACGTATGTTTGAAACAAATGAATAAATATTGTATTCAAATAAATGTATTAAAATTATTTTTAATTTTTATTCCTGTATAAAGCTTTTTCTATATATATATTATATATATATATATATATATATCTTCTATTCTATTCTATATTATATATATCCTTATATTGATAAAGCATTGCATTATTAATGAGAAAGAAATATTGAAAAAATTTGCCTAATGCAAAACGCAAAAACTTCATTTAGAAAAGGAAATTCAATCACGATGTTCCTTGAATTACGACTTTGAAAAACATATAAATTGAAAAAGCCTATCTAGTGCGCACTATAACAGGTCATAAAATGTAAAATTCACCTTTCCAACTATTTGACTAGTGCAACATAAGTCGTATTTCCTCCGCCAGTGTGTTATATATCGTATTCGTAAAGGTCCTCTGAGCTCATCCATCTATACATGTAATATTTACTGTCGGCGAGAGAAAAAGAGGGAGGAAGGAGGGAGAGAGAGAGTGAGAAAGAGAGAGAGAGAGAGAGAGAGACTAGCTCTGAATAATATTCTGCCATAACTGCTGATGCGAATAAAATTAAAGATACGTGGCGAATCATCGAGAAAACTTGGATACAAGCAAAGTTCGAGCGGCCTTGACTCCTCTTCCATCCTAATAATTTGTCGCTCGACTCGGCATCTTCCTTACTTCGCTCGAGCCCGACTGCCCGACTTATTAATTACTCGATATTGATGCTGGTCACCGGGACGGCAAAAATTGTCACGACGTACGTAGCATTTTATGAACACGATTCGCTCTCACCATATTTCGCTTACTCCGTTAGACCGATTTATTAATGACCTCATACTTCGGGAAACCGACAGTGTAGATAATTTTAATTAATTTGCATGCTATATTTTGAATTTGCCTGTATTTCATTCATTTTGAATTCATTATTCATAACAAGCAAAAGGAAGACAATGAGATCCTCGGTTAATATCAATAATTAATTAAAGGCCATTTTTATTCGGGCTAATATGCTACATTAACTAGGATTATATAATCTTTTAGAAATTATAAATTTCCCGTTATTTTCGAAGATGCGGCGACAAAGCGACAAATGCAATTGCGCTTTGCATATAGTATTTAATGTAACAATTAAAATTAAAAATTATCATTGCAAAACATTATAGTCGCTCTGCTGAATAATGAACATATATTCATTTGTTATTGAATAAACTATGAGTAAGCGAGAATTTTAATGCAGTAATTAATTTAATACAAATTTATAAATTACTCGGTAGAAATAAATCTATTTGGAAATTCCAACTGTATGCGAGATCGCAATAAATAATTCTAAATTTAATCTTTGTTCTTCTAATATTCACACTCTTTAACAATAGCGTGAATTATTCTCTGAAGTAATAAAAATAAATATATATATATATATATAAATAAATAAATAATTCACTTTATTTTATAGCGTACTTAGTTAGTTTTTGTAAAAATAATCATCAGAAATTTTTCAAATATCGACAACAATAGACTCCCATGAAAATTCATTTAAAAGTATTTTAAAAATATTGATAGAATATTATATTGATAAAAGTATACTCGTACATTTTCTTAAAAAATATATTACTTAATTATCTTTATTCAATATACTACTTTCTAATCCTAGTAAGGTTATTGTGTGTTATAAGATAAACATATACTTATAACAACGAGTTAGAAATGTAAATTACTATATAGAGATATTTTAAGATATATTACATATTACCTTGCACACGTTAAATAACAACATAACCTTAACATATATCTTCATCTTTTTTCATTTCACCTTTGTTTTTTTTTTTTTTTTTTTTTTTTTTTTTTTTTTTTTTTTTTTTTTTAATGCAAGCTTCATGTTTTGATTTTCTTGTAATTACCGAAACAAATATGCTAACAATTATGCTAAATTGACAAGTAATAGAAAGAATAGTCACTGTTTAACGAAAATTAAGATGCATATTACATGGATTTTCTCCCGCGAATCACATTGTTAATAGAAGTGTTTTACCTATTTCCCTGCATTTTTCAGCGACTGTGGATGCTTCCGTAAACTGACCAGACTTCATTAAAACCTCGCTAAGCCTCATAAGTGTAATGATAAAATTTTGATCCCCATATTCTGTAGACTTCTTGTAGTACTCAATTCCCTTGAGGAACTTATGTAAAACGGTAAAGCGTCTGCCCCATTCTCGATAGAGTATTTGAGCGTGAAAAATTTGATTCTCTTCATCATCATTGAGCAATTGCGCCATTTTTTATAAAGATTTATTTCGACGTAGAGTCGTTCGAAAATTTAAAAATTTAGTTAACAAAAGTTTTGAAGTCTCTTCTTCACGAGAATTTTGAATATTTTTTCACAGTTGTCTTGGCGAGTTTTTACATTTTTGCTGTATTATGACATTTTCAACTTAACACATTTTTATTATACTTTTTCCAAGTGAAATCAGTTAGAAACGAATAAGTTAACTTTGAATAATATTCGAGGATACGAAAAGTTAGTACGCGGCATTTTACGGCTTTATGAATGGATCGATAAACGTGAAAGTGGTTTCATATTGTCAAGTTTTTTAACTTGTGCTCAGAATTTCAGAAAGACCAATCAAAACATACCCACTCCATTAAAAATACGAAATTCCTCGAAGCATGCGGCTTCTTTCGGGTTATTTGTACTCTCGTTTTAAATAAGAAACACAATCATTACTTATTAATAGACTAATAATTTTAGAAATTTAATCAAAATAAAGGAAATTTTGTGAGATTGTTATTGAGATTATAAAGGAAGATATTCAACGATTGATCTTTATATTAAAAGAGAAACTTACATTCGCGAAACAGAACGTCGTTACAGTACGACATATATATCATTTATGCGATAATCTTAAATTTTTATATTTTTATCATAGAAATAATATGATAGATAATCTGAAAAATAATATTCAATGTAGCAACATATGGAATAGTTATGGAAAGTCGTCTCATACGGTTCATCGCAACCAAATGTAAATAAAACTCATCTTAAAAACTTAATTTATATAAGTCAATGTAAATATATATATCCATAAAGTCAATACATTAAAAAATGCAGCATATCTCTCTCTAAATCGCTTCTTCTTCTTCCATTTTTTATACATTTAATTTACTTTATGTACATTTAAAGATTTACTCTAAATATCCGGAAACTATTAAAGCGACCTTTTCAAAAAAAAAATAAATAAATAAATAAATAAATAAAAGATTCAAAACCTCCACAATGAAGCAAATTGTTGTTAGGTAGAAAAAAAATAACAACTCATTATTAAAGAATCGTCGACGTAGCAAGGATAAAAAAAAAAATTACCTACTTTTCATTACGCGAATCCTCAATTCCGCAATAACGCAATGTGCATACTTACAGGAACGTCGAGGCTATTGGCGCACAGAGTGCTTGAGCCGAAGGATCGAAGTGATTGTTCACTTTAAAGAAGAAAGACAAACCATACGAGAGTCCATCTCGGGATGCGGTGATGGCGCTTCTCTACAGATTCGCTCAGCTGCCCGACCGCAGCGGCACGCGAGTCTTCTCGTTCGTCGTCACCAGGAGCGTCGTACGCGACCCGGAACGCGACGTCACTAGCAAGGAGCTCGTCTGCGGATTCCAGAAATGGGCTGTCGCATTCTCAAGGGGCGACAAGGTGCGTCACGCAATTTGTCCTATGTCGTTTGCCCTATTAACTGGCTTTAATCGTGTGATTTTAGAAAGAGAGTCGAGTCGCCTTGATCTTTGATAGTGAGCTATTGCTCGGATATGACGACATTCACGATGATAAGTTTGATGAAAGTTTCGATGCCTTTGTGTGCGTCAGATGAAAGTCAAAGTCGACCATTTTCGAGATTTCAATTTCATTTAGAGCATTGAATTTAATAAACAATTATGCGCGAATTATGTCCAATATTCTTGAAGATTAATAAAAACGTATGTGCTTAATTATTTAATAAAATCTCCATAGAAACTAAAGGATTTCCGAGAAATTGAACTATTAAACATCTTATTGTATATGCAATACAAAAAAAAAAAAAAAAAAAAAAAAAATTTTTAATTTGTGTCAATTAAAATGAATGGCTGATAATAGAATTTTCAAAGGATCTGCAATGGTATGGTACTTATCATAAATTTTGAAATTATAATATATAATTTAAAAGAAAATTCCTCAATGTTTCATACAACATATCAATACTGTACTGTTACAATAATAATTTAGTTGTAATTATTATGAAGTGATGATTTTTACAGAACATATAGTAATTCTAATGGAATGAGGTTCTATTTAAGTCTTATAATAAACAATTGCAACTAGAAATGTCAATAGTGTAAATATAATAGATATGTATGCATTAAATTTGTTAAACTTTGCAATATCTATCTTTGATCTTTTATGCCTTTTTTTCTCGTATCTCTTGAATATTTTCCAATTTTACCAATTTTAAATCACTACTCTGTTTCTATCTCCTCCTATCTTTGGGGGGGGGGGGGGGAAAAAAAAAAAAAAAAAAAAAAAAAAAAAAAAAAAAAAAACACAATATGATTTTAAATATAAATTAAAGCATTAGAATACATTGTATTCTGTTTATTTATAAAGACCAAATTATTTTTTTATATGCATGTAATGTATTTATACTTTTCTGATGACTGTTTCGATAATTCATAATGAATATAAACAACGCAATGCATAAATATGATTGAAAAAAAATTGAAACAAAAATCAGATGGCGAAATTGGGTTTTTCATGAAACTTTTTCCCACTTCACCGTAATTCAACAAGCATACGATATTCGATTGCACTAACTTCTTACTTTACTTAATCTGCCTGTATTATCGAATAATTTCATATATCAGCTAATTCTATATAAATTGCTATGCGCACTCTTTTATTACCTATTGTTCTATAACCATTAGGCTTTATCATTAAAATTACTATCTATTGCATGAGCGGACAAATCCTAACAGTATGCTCTAAATTCTTTACTGGCTTTAATAAATATTTAAGTTTTTCTTTCCGCAATATAGACCATTTTATAGAAAAAATTATATCGACAATCAATTATTGTAAAATTAAAAAAATAATCATGACTCACGTTGGTTAATCAATTAATGCAATTTTCAACTACTACCGAATAAAAATTACCGAAGTAGGTAAGAATTAATCAAACTCAAGGAGCAAGTTTTTCTATAAAGGCAGACTGTTGGAGAAAGTGTTCGATAATTATTCAGAAAACTTTAATGGCAAACGAATGAAATATAGAGATATAAAAAAAAAAAAAACTTATTGCATACAGCTGCTTGTTGTCAGTGTAACTTACACTATTCCTTAAAAAGACCCGAATAATGGAAAAAAGATTATCGTGGAAAGCCCGAGAAGCTAAAACATTTCAAATATTTATACATCTCTGCGTCCTTGAGAGTGGAATTGTATTTATAGTCGAAATGCATTTGCATTCTATAATTTATTTAAAATCAATTAAAACTAATGGGTAGTAGGCAAAACGATTGGCTGGCAATTCCATGTGCCATTATCAAACTTGGAATACTGCCAAATTAAGGGAAAAATATGATAAGGTTGAAGTTGTCCAGGAATTTGAATGAGAATTACGCGTCCGTCACTTACAACGAAATGGACAATCCAAGCTTAAGGTCGTAAGGCCCAGCCTCACTTAGAATTCCACTGGATATGAACGGAGATGTTAAAGGAATGGCGTAATCATAATTGGCGATAATCCTACTGATACTGAACTCCTCCCATACTTCTGAACTTTTTGCAGGAGCGTGGTAGACACAAACGTTATGTTTCTGATCGGCAGGTATTGGGGGTCTACCTGGTCTGGCGGGGCGCGGCACCGGGTCTACGAGTTTACGTCGACTTCACCTTCACGCTCCTCAATCGCGAGCACTTCTCCGTGAACGAGGGATTCAGCGGCAAACGCGTGAAATTCACGTACGAGGCGCCGGCCCAGGGAAATCGCAACTATATATCCGTCTCCGACCTCTACAGTAGAAACTTCGCCGACCCCAATGGCGAATTCCAGCTCGAGCTCTCGATGACCAACGTCCGGACCGTATTTACCAGCGAGGTCAGCATACCGACTCCTATCCAATGTCACGCCTCTACTTTTACGCTTCCGGTGGACGTGTCTAGCTAGCTCAGGCAATCTTCCGGGAGCTAATCGGGGGATTCCTGAATGATGGAATGTTGTCTTTTAATTCGCGATTGGCTTGATAGTGGATTGAAACGGATTGCCGAAATGGTCGTATGAGAAATGAATTTCACTCAACCTTTGTTGCTGAATAATAGCGACGTGTAAATTCTCTAAATGAATTGTCATAATTGTGCATTATTAATGTAGAAGTAGAATGATGAAATGAATGTCGCGATATTATATAATACGAGTTGTCGTTAAATATATTAGATGGCGTTGGAGAATGTTAATAATGATTGAACAGCCGCAAAATTTCGATGAAATGCCAACGACTGCTTTTATTGCGCAATTTTTTCTATTTAACCATGCGATTTTACTTTAGTCAAGCACATATAAGCGATACAAATTTCGAAATTAAGATAATGACGTTGTGAGAACGGTGTGAGTTAAAATTTTTTTACAAAATGGTATTATAATTGTAAAATTAAAAACCATATGTAATTTAATATTTATTCGACATTAACATCTGTCACGAACAATTGATTTTATACATAATTAATGCACGAGATTTTTCGATTATACATCGATAAAAACCAATTTACATTCAAATCCCATCACTAAATAGTAAATTTAAATAAAAATTTCACACCACTCCTCACGTACCCATTTTCATACATCGAGTTTAAATAGAATTATAATATTAAATATATAGTGCTATGATATACTTAATATTACTAATCATTAATATATCTGAACTATAAACTAATAAACAAATTTGTCTATTATTAAATATTTAAATAGATATTATAGCGACAAATTATTAAACCATGAAATTATCGTTCGGATTAAATCATCTAAAATAACAAAGTATTCAAGATATTTTTATCGATTCAAATTCAGAAATAAATGCTTATTGTCGTATTTGTATCGAATGCTTAAATGAGAAATCGAAGAATTACATTTTATAAAGAAATATAATATAATTATGATATGATACGAAGATGAAATTACGTAATTTAATAAATGATGAGTGCATATGAGTGGCGAGGAATATCTTTTTAATTTTTTTCATTGAGAAATTTATAACGGTAAAATATTGAAAGGCATTGTAGTACTTCGATTATCCAAATAAAAACAAAAGTCGAGGGAAATTTTTCTAACAAATTAGTTAAGAAACAAGTGATTTATTTTGTATTGAGGGGATGCAGTGAGGAGTATTTCATAAATTGAAAAAATACGTTTTTCTCATTACTTGTACACTACGCAATTTCTATATTTATATATATATATATATATATATCATAATAATTACATTTGATTTTGCAATTTACTAAGCATAGGCTCTTGTGTGTCTGAATAAATAATTTTTCGCATTATATATACAATTGATTTTTAAATCTGCAATATTAATTAGCATTGAAATGTTTACAATTCTATGATGGATTATTTATAGATTTTTTTTCTTTTTTCTTCAACATCTGCCATTAATCCTAAATAATTCTAATATTATTATAAATTTCAATTTTGATGTTTTAACATTACTACTTATAATATAATGATACAGGCTTACAATTTATAATTTAGAATTTTTATTGATAAACATTAATTTTAATGATTATCTGTAATTATATTAACAAACGTCTACTATTTATTATACGGGGACTGTCTTTATATTAAAATCTATAATATAATATAAAAATTATAATAAAAGCATTCGTTACAGACTTTAATTCTAGTTAAAGTGCTTAAAGTAGTGAAGCCTGCATTTGTATTAGAAGCCTATAATTTGCAATATTCCTTGAACTTATTAATTAATATCAATCATGCCGTGAATATTAATTATCAGAATAAGAACGCAAGGCAATCGAGATTCCTCGATTATGAAATTAAGAACAACAACTAATTAACAGGGGTATTATGTATATATATATATATATGTATGTATATATAAACAGGGGTTCCGATGAGTTTGAATGTAGGGAAGGAAAATTCGTATTCTCGGGAATAATGTATGGCTGGCGAAAGCATAGTAGTTTGTAAGAAAAATCGCGCGTGTTAGGTTACGCGGGATAACAAATCCGGCGGATGAAAAGTTACTTCGACACGTGCCCGGGTCACGACGTTCGGGTAACTAACGATTGCACGTATTGTCGGGCAGGTTCGTCTACCCTCGAGTGTGTTCACGGCTGGCCAACCGAAGCCGAGCAAATTGGAGACGAGCTACTTCACGTTCGGCGGCTTCGACTGGAACCTCGTGGTCTACCCGACGGGCAACAAGGAGACCGAGGGCCGCTCCCAGGATGGCCGGATGAGCGTGTACCTGGTGCGGCTGACGGGCTTCGACCATCGATGCCGCGTCCGTTACATCGTGAGTCTGGGTGAGGGTGATCGTAGAGTGGAGTCGGGGCCAATCGAGGACCTCTCCGACGCCGACGGCCGCGGCTTCGGCTGGCAGCCCCGTGTGCGCTGGTCCGATGTCGCGCACAAGGGCGTCCTTAGGGTCTCTCTCGAGATGCTCGAGGCCCGCACGATATCCGAGGTCTCGGTCCAGGCGCTCGGTCCCGGCGTCTTACCCGCGACTCCCTGCTACGACAGGGACAAGCAGGCCTGGGCCATCAGGGCCGACCTACACTCCGACACCGTCAGGTTACATCTCATTTACAAGGATATACACAACGTGCCGAGAAACCACCTCAGGTCAGTATTCAAGAGCCTTTTCGTTATTATGTCGCTTGAGTGGATTCGTATACGAGCCCTCGATATTATTGGTATGAAAAATGTTTGAATAGTTTAGCTCAACGAATAACAATGCGATTGCCATTATTTGCTAGAGAAGCTTAGTTTCGAAAGTCTTAATCCTTCGAAATCCAACGGTTACATTCTGCAAGTATTGGGTATTATTGTCTTACGATAATATTAAACTTCTTCTCGACTGTCCTGCATATTTTAAAAGCAAAATGTTCGAGACGAATAGTTGGTATTCATCAGGCGTAGGAAAAGTGAAGATCGATCTAATGAAGAAAATTGTCGAAAAATTCCTTTATTAAACTAAATAAAAGCTAAAAATTAAATAAAGGATATTTATTTCTTCATACAGATATTATATTATGTGACATTACATTGATAAGTCATTTACTTTGGACGTTGATTATTTTTTCTTTTTTTTTATTATTATTATTGTTTTTTTTTTTTTTTTTTTTTTTTTTTTTTTTTTTTTTTTTTTTTTTTTTAATCATAATCATAGATCCTTTATAACATAGTCAAAAATGCATTTGATTTTGAAATTCTTATAATCGAATTTTTCTCTTTATTTCCTCTATAATAACAAAGCCAAAGTTGATGTGCTTAAATGTATGTCTAATTAGTGAGAAATAAATAAATTTTTTCATGCACTGCATTGGTTCATTATTGGACGATTTTCCAAGCTCTGAGCGTCACATTCAAACTGTTGGCTCGCGTAATGAGTTTATGAGACAATTATAACTCGGTTGTAGTTTCACATAAACACTTGAAAACAATGTACTTTATTGCACGTGCATTACTTATGGATGTGCGATAGTGTGATACGGACACACGTATACGTTATTCCATACGATAATATTCCAAGCCAATCTGCGCCTTTTCGCGTAGTAATTTAAACCCAAAACTTGCAAGTCGTAATTAAATATACGCAAATATTATAATACTGATTCGAGGTTAAAAGTGAGCTACGATGAAAGAGACAAAATTTACGATAGGTACGTAAGCTGGACGGCATATTTGATCCGTGGCGAGGAGCCTGACTCGGAGATCGTGAGCCTTCCGGGGGCCCCGTTCAGCCGCTATTACGCCCAGGAACCGGCGGACGAGGGCATCATAATGGAGACGTCGATCGGCGTGAACGAGGTGAAGGACGAGAGCTGCCCGTTCGTGACGGAGAAGGGCCAAATCCGAGTACGCCTCGAGTGGAACGAGTCCCACCTCCTCTTCCAAGCGACCTACCACAAGTACGACGACGTCTGTCGCATTCACAACCAGCAGATGCGACGCGAGATCGCGGCCCTACAAGCCGAGAATTATAGTCTTGAGCGGCAGTTGTTCAGCTATCAGAAGAGCCTCGCCTACGCTCAGGCGCAGCAGCAACAAACGGTTGGCCATTTTTAATCCTTACCCATCCACGCTACCTTGCAACATGTCCTTGCATCGCGATAACTAACATCCCTAACCGCGTCATACGCCAGCGATCTCAAATGCACGTCTTTATGCATTTCAAGTGATTTTGAGTTTTCTCTTGGAATTTTAAGAGACGATTAAAACGCGACAAAGCCATCACTGTGTAATATACTTCCTTTATAATTACTTATCGTTACGTATTATCAAGGCCTTGACGGAATACAACTCTTTTCACAACGTTTGTTTTTCATTTATTATGTCATTTAACGGTCTCACACGCTATGAGAAGTTAAATAAATGTTATGTGAATTGATGTGCGGTAGAAACAAATACGGAAATGCTACACATTTAACTATACGAGCAGAAAAGGTGAAATTCTAGAATAATAATGATTCTTGGGAAAAGTAAAAATACGCGATACCGTGTAGACGCTGAAAAATGGAAATAATAGTGGGAATTGATGTCGACAGCGGTCCTTGATTCATAAATATTATTATTGGAACAAGGAAAATGCACTTTATGATTGGTTTTATTCTTTTATGGGGCTGTCATAAGCAACGTAATACATCTAATAATAATTATTGAATTTTATCGAAGGATTTCATATTTATTGTCATGTTCGTTGCTTTTAAAAATGCTTAACTTGTTTCGGTTTTCTAATATGTAAGCGACATGAATTTAAATATTTTCACTATTAGCTTGTCTCGTTATTGAAAGAAGAAGAAAAAAAGAAGAAGAACTTTGTGCATCATTACGCGAAAGCAATAATAGTTTGAAATAGTTTGCTATATCCTCCGATATAGTAACAATATAATTCTAACGAAATTAAAGATTTTTATATCTAGAGGACTATTTGTTTATTTTGCATCGGAAACAAACTAAAGAAATATAAAATAAATCGCTACGGATCCGTACAATCACTAAGGAATTGCATACTTTCTAATCGGTTGTTTTAAATTGAAAATCAATTTTACATTGATAATTTGAAAATAAATATAATATTGCTCCTCAGCGATTAATATTGTTAATTGAATTTTTTATCTAAATATTTATAGGATTTATCATAATGTCGATCGATCGACCCTACCATATGTAGAGCTTTAGTTAAGCAAATATGTCATATGTCGTAGCTGTACGTTCAATAATATAAATTGAAAACTCACACATTTTGCAATATAAAAATTTTATTGTAAAATAAAAATTCAAAAAATTTAAAAAAAAAATATAAAATATAAAATGATAATATACAGTAATAATTCATTAGGTTTTGTTGTGTAGAAGCAATTGCGTGTAAAATCTAATGATTCGTTCGTATTTAATCATTATTAAATAAATTTTCAAAAATTTCATAATTCTATTGTTTCCATCATTGCTATTTACGATTATTAAATATATTACAAATTCACTAATATAATGATTTGACTTTTAATTATTAAAATTCATTTCACTCGTCGTTTATGGATTCTTTTATTTTATTTTTTTTTAATTTTTTTTTTTAATGAAATAATTCGATAACAAATTAATTTAAATTTCTTTTGTGCATCTATTTTTATCTTAAATATTCCTTCTTATTTTTATGTACATAATGTCAACTCAAATGACTTCGTTTTTGTTAAAAACAAAAATTTGATATGTCACCAAAAAATTAATATCTTGAATGTGTGTATCTTTTGCCAAACAATTATTGTAGTGGAAAAATGAACTAATTAGCAGATTGGGCTTTTTAAAGTTTTAACAAAATATATTTATACAATAAAAGAAAATTATTAGAGACAAATATTAATAAATTATATCGAGATAAGATAAGAGTTTCTTCGAATATGAACTAATTTACTGAATAATTATTACTCAATGCTATTTTATTCAAATGTTTGCAATACGTTACTGCTTTTTTAAATTTTAGTATTGAAAATACATATTTAATATGCAAAAAATGTATAATTATGTTTATAATAAATTATTAAAAAATTTGTGATATTTACTTTTCAAGATTATCGTTAGTTTATAAAATATAACGGAACATCATTGTAAACACAATTTTTAATTATCGTTCCTGAAACAATTTTCATGCTTAAGCCAATGACTCAATGATTAACAAAACTGAAATTATTCGTTGTGCATGTATATATATAATTAGCGATTAGTATGAATTACATTATTACAATGTTTTTATTATTAATGCCTCTGTTGTCAAATATTCGTCGAAAATTTATTTGCCAAGAACAAACTTAATTGAAACTCATCTTAAACGAATATTGTGCGCAAGCTTAATTTACAATTACACTTACATTTCCATCAATTCCATGAATATTTAAGTAAGATTACTTTGTTAATATACATGCTAATAAAATAATTATCAATTAAGAGTCTTGGAATATTTATTAAATTAAAAAATTAATACATAACAATTGTATACTCCCAAATATCCATCAGAGGCTAGAATATGAATTTTATATAAATAATGTTCTTCGATGTTAAATTTCAAGGATCGTAAAGCCAGCTTTATAAGATATTATTTAAAAAAACAATGACAAAAAGAACACAAAAATTAGAGCTGAATCATACATTATTCTAAACATTTCTCTTAAATTTTATTGGCTCTCACATTCATGCCTACACAGCACAAATTAATAATTAATATATAAGACGTTGCGATGGTACATATAGTTTTGCCACTACGCCATTACTAAACCCAACCTCTTGGGATCCATAAGGAAAAATGATATCGACAAATAACCAAAAAAATCTTTCTGTTCGTCTCTTGGGAAACGGAATACCGGTCCACCTCAGTCACAGCCGCCGCACCAGCAGCAAAATCAACAACCGAGTCACCGCGAAATTGGCCTCGAGAGATCCGTATCGACGGACACGGAGTACGCCTGACGAGTGGATCGTCTCATCGGACGTGCCCCGGGTCGCCGGCAACTACCCTGCAGTCCCCAGCAGGTGTCGAGCATGCTGATGGCTCAGAGCGATCCTCTCGTTCACGAGCACCTTGTCAACATGATGGACCGCAGGCTGAGTAACGTCCAGCAGCATCTTATGCGCTCCTCGCGATCCAATTCGACCCATAGCCGCGCAAGCTCACTAGGACTGGTCGAGGATATCGGGTGCCCTACCAGCATCGTCCGGCAGCCGCTGAGTCAACTGCATAATCATCATCATCGCCATCCTAATAGCCATCATCAACTGCAGCAGCAGAAGCAGCAGAAGCAGCAGCAGCTGCTGCTGCAACAACAACAACTGGAGCAGTACCAACAGCAGCACCAACAGCAGCAGCAGCAGCAGCAGCAGCAGCAGCAGCAACAACAACAACAACAGTATCAGCAGTATCAGCAGTATCAGCAGCAGCAATACCGGGCCAGCTATAAGAGAAGACGAGCGACATTTTGGGAGACTCTCACGGGCCTGGTATGCTCCTTAGGCGCTCTGGCTACGAGAGCAGCCAAAATGGCAGCCGGGAGATCCGAACTTTGAGGCGAGTGACGAGCCACTCCTGTCGATCGGGACGTCGACCGGGGGTCGCGGGAGAGAAGAAAAACGAGGATATGAAAATCGAGCTATTTCGCGGTTCTTCTGCCTGGGGGTTTCACTCGGCAGGCATACACGTCTGCACGACAGTCTCGGTCGACACGCGAAACTAATGATCTCTGGCTACGAATGGTCATCGCTTATATGGATTTCAGGTCTTTACCGTGTCCAATTAGTTTTCCTGGACATTAAAAATTGTTGGTTTTCGTTTTAATTTCTAAATGTATGTACGTGTCGTTCGGTTTACCTTAAGTAAATAAGTAAGTTTATCTTGTCAATCACAGATTTCATTTCTCGTAAGATTGCGTCTCCTCAACAATTACTTTCTATATGATAATAGCGTCGTATTTACTAAGCTTCTTATTTTCGTACTTTAAGGTGTAAGGTAATATCGTTCATCCAACAATATTTCTTTGCGTGTATATAAGTCACGTGAGCCTATACATGCTTGAAAATTACGTACGCGTATTTATATCTTAAAAGTGCTTCGGATACATTGGCTGTTTGTGTGGCGGCGCGAATACGAGAGGATTACAAAGAGTAGTCAGAGAAGGAAGGGAGAAATGATAAAATGAGAGAAACCGGTTATGCCTAATTGTTATTCGTGATTGGCTGTCGATCATAGGGGATTGGGGATTCGCCGTGAGCGGAAGCTTTTTAAGTATGACCAAATGATGGCCGAGTACCTACGAATTGTTCGATAATGATCTAAAGAGGATAAAACATTAATGCTGCTAAAGTCGCTAAAAGTATGAGAAACAAATTTTAAAACGCAGAAGGGCATGCATTGTGACGATTGGATACATTGACAAAATGATGTCTCGCTTCATGATCAAGACTTTTTCATTTGTATATAATACGAGAACCAAAAAACCACGAAAAAAAAAAATAAATAAATAAAAAAAAAGATAAAAAAAGAACACGAGAAACAAATATTATACTGCAATGACAATTTAAATTAGGAATTGAAATAATTTTAATTACTCATCACGATTAATCTATTTGTGTATTCCAAAATATTAAAAATAACAATGTAGACTCAAGAACAAAAATAAAGAGCCATAAGAGACTTTTTCTATTATACTTTATTAAAAAAAAAAAAAAAAAAAAATGCTCAAGTTATGTAAATTACGCTTAAACGTTCAATTTATCCTCATTTTTGTCCAACACTTTTATAGCGAGAAAAACTTTTGTTAGTGTAAATGTAAGGGGAATAAGAGTCGTTTGATTATCGCATCGAAACAAAGCAAAACAAAATAATGAAAGAAAAAAACAATAAAATTAAAAAATATATATAAAATTACGGTTAACAAGTTTCCCTCTAAGCGACTCCTGATCTACTTGTCAATTCACGAAAAGAACTTATTTTCGTCAAAAGGCTTTTTTCACTTAAAACACCCTTGATACGAAAAGAAAATAAGTTTATAACGTATATCTCACAAATTTGGATGAAAAAACAAAAAAAAAACAAAAAAACAACTTCGATATGAAAACAAAAAAAAATATGCGTTATCATAACTACAATCGTAATATAACTTTAACGAATAATTAAAACAAAAATAAAATAAAAACCAAAAAAAAAAAAAAAAATCGTAAATAATCTTGTAGTGAGCATAAATGTATTATTAGCAAGTCCGTAAGGATACTGCAAAGAATGCAGCTTTTTCTGGGGAAGCTCAGTACGCTTATTAGGTTGTCATTGTGCAGCACTAAAAGCAGTTTCAACGATAAAAACTTGTCATCTTTGTGAACGAGGCGTTTGTCAAATAAAATAATCGAATAGAGGCCATCGATTAGATTCGTCTAACTTTGCTCTCCTTTAATTCAACTTGGTATTTCGTATTTATCACTCTGGAGCTTAGAGTCCATTAGCTATTAGATAACAACAACCACAATAATAACAACAACAACCATCACAACAACAACAACAACAACAACAACAACAACAACAATTAGAAATATTAACAGATTTAATGGAAAATATTAATAAATAAATAAATAAAAAAAAAAATTTTTTTTTAAACAATTTATTGGAGGTGGCATACTTCAATTGGAAGTAAATAAATTGGACGATATATAAAAAATTTGTGATTCCTTAAAAAATTAAATTATTATAGCAAAAGAAGGAATTGTACGATAAAAGATTTATCCAATATATGATTAATAATTATTTTCAAAGGATCTTTCACAATCTTATGTAACAACAGTTTACGATATTATAAAATTCTTAAAGAATTTTTTAATATTAGCGATACTTCAAAAATAGCAAATAAATTAAACCCGTTGGAAAAATATATGACTAATAAAAAAATAAAAAAATAAATAAAAAATAAAGAAAACTATATGAAATATTATAGCTATATATCGATTATATTTTTATCACAGAAATATAAAACTATGTTTTTCATCATTGTATCGTTCGAATATTCTTCCAAGCTTATCGTGGGAGAGGAAGGGAAAGGGAGAGAGAGAGAGAGAGAGAGAGGGAGAGTGAGAAAAATAGAGAAATCTTACAAGTCAATGCAGGCATTGTTTACGTATATCACAAATCTATAATATTTTTAAATTAAATAAAATCATCTATCCTAACATATCGTTTATGAATATTTATCAAAATGAGGCTCCAATTAACATAATAAATTATAAAGACTTTGTACGGTTAGAAACTATCACGATTGTAAGTAAGGAAAAATCTGCTAAACCGAAGAAAGCAGAGAGAGAGAGAGAGAGCGAGAGCGAGAGAGCGAGAGAGGGAGAAATAGAGAGAGAGAGAGAGAGAGAGAGAGCGAGAGAGAGTAAAAAGCATGAGAGAGTGAGAGAGGAATCCTTAGTGTTTACGAGTGAAATATGTCTAAATTTACGTCGTTGGTTAATCAGTAAATGAAAATCACCGATCCAACATTACAAGCCAATGTGGGATTTCGTCCCATGACCGAAAGCAAACCGCACTCAAATCGTACATCTCGCTATGATTCCATCAATAATTCTCTCTATCTCTGTCTATGTCCGTTATATTCCTATTAGACCAATGAATTAGGTAGTAATAAAAAAAAAAAAAAAAAAAAAAGTATAAATGATTCATCATTATTTATATACGACCAAAAGTTATGCGTATTCAACTTTTAATAAGGATTTTTTTGGTTTGGATTTCATTTATTTTTTTATTTTTTTATTGTTTTATCTAACAATGTGAAATCAAATTTATCACATTAATTACTGATTATATGAACATATTTGGCGTAAGACTCAAACAGTACAAAATCATTCAACATTGAGTAATATACAACTCAAATTATACCTGACAAAATTACATAATTAAATTAATATAAATAAAGTACAAAAGCTTGTATAGATGTAAAGACGTCTACGTATAAAAAAAATTAAACAAATGAAAATTTTATTTCTTATATTAAATTTATAAATATGCAAAAAGGAAAATTCCATTAATAACATACAAAAATAAGTATTAAATATTTATTAGAATAATTATTCAAATTAGTTTTGCTCTTTTATTACTTATATCGTTGAGAATTAGCCTTGACATTTACAAATAAATAAAAAAATAAATAAATAAAAAGGATACGAATAATTTGATTCAACTAATAATAAATCATATAGATAAAAATGAGTAATAAATTTTTGTAATAAAATAAACAGAAATTGATTAGTTACTGTTAATCTTAATAAATGTCGATAAATGTAGGCGCAGAAACAAATGATTTACTACCTAATACATTAATTTTGATAAATGTATTTCTAACACCTTTTAAAGGTCCAATGAGTCAAAAAAATTTTGTTTGAATTTCTTTGGATTTTAAGCATACATTATACATTATTTTTGAGGAATGTTAAGTAATCACAGAACAATAATTATAGTAATATGTAAAATTCTGATTCAAAGGTATGTTATTTTTGTTCTAAAAGTACACAAACAAGAAACTATGAATTCGCATGTATATTAAATCTATTGTTCTTGGAAAAAGAAATATTATCATTTTTTATCGTTGTAAATCTCAATTATACATATGAATTATCTACAATGTAAATGTGCCACGTTTTTGCAAAAGACCGACAGAATATAAAAAAAAAATTCATTATCCAATTAGTCTGAATATAAGATTTAATCGTCACGAAATCGATCTCAGAAATATGTAATTCATACGACTATCGATACTCTATATCTTAAGTATTACGAAGCTGTACACATACGTTGTATATAATAGTACTAAAAAAAAAAAAAAAAAAAAAAAAAAAAATACCAAAAATAAAAAAAAAGACAAACAACAAAATAACTCATGAGCGAAATATTCGTCGTTTATATTAATCTCATATTCCTTTCGACGAAATCAAGTAAGGATTCCGCGCATGCTTGTACAAAACAAACTAGAAATTATTTATCCGCAACTCTAAACAAAAACAAACAAAAAATACATATTTGTTACAAAATAATTTAACGACCTATTGGAATTTATATCTAATTTATATTAAGATAAAGAAATAAAAATCTGAGGGATTTTAAAGATTTAATAGAAAATGTTATGAAACTATATAGTCGATGTTAGATAAAAATATAATGAAACTAACTCAAAGAATATAAATATATTTTAAAATACATTTTTTTAAATTCCATTCTTATTAAATTTATAACATAATATATTTACTATATGTGTGCTATTATTA